CTTAGCCACTGATAATCTGTAGCCCCACCCTCAGATTAGGATTACAGAAATTATAGACTTCCGGAGATAAATATGAGCAAGAAAAAAAAGAGTGACTGAGTGGAACAAGAAAGAGAGTTGGAAAAGAGAAAGAGAGGGGAGGAGCGTGTTTGTCCACAATTTGATGCACACACATTCACTCAGGAAGATCTGTAATTAAGGTTAAAGCTAAAAACAGATTGCTGCCAACAGCGGCACATATGCTACCTACTAATGAGAATGACTGTTGGCTGTAATTAATATTTATTTTACGGTGTATTTTAGCTCTTTCTCTCTATCTGCATCTTACCATGTGACCATTGCACAGATCATTACAGATCATGCACTTCTGCATCTCGTTCCACGGTTCATGACACACCAGCTGACCTGTATGTGTGTGCGTGTGTGTGTGCGTGTGTTTAGGCCATCTAAGAGACAGGTGTACCGCAGAAGGGGGTGTACAAGGACTTTATTAAACACTTTATAAAACACAAACACGCACACAGAATCCTGTCCAATAGAATTTACTTCTATGTCAGCATATTATAAATATCTTACATGGGTGCCAACTACCAAGTTTTATCATAACCTCTAAAACATACACAATTTGCGTACCCATCATAACAGCACTATCTCAGCAAATGTGTAATAGTTTTTATTGACCTCATATGCAAATTATACACTTGACCTCTCCACATAAATGACTATATCAAGGTCAGCATGCTCTGATTTCTCTGAGTATACACACATCACGTTCACTTTCAGTACTGCCGCTTACCCGTTTTTTAATTTGATTTTACTTTTTGACCATTAATAAAGTATATTCTATCCAGAGGTTTTATAATTAATTCAAACTAAAATTAAAACCATAAAAATAGCGTTTTTGTTACTTGAAATAAACGCTAACCAAAATCAAAGTAAGTATGAAAAACCTTAAACTTATTTTAGTTCAGCTAGTTGCCAATTAAGTCAGCATTTCTCATTCAACTTAAAGTACTAAAATAACTAAAACTAAAAACTAACAAGATTACTATAACTAAAATTAAAGTGAAAATATAAAGATAAAATCTAGTTAAAATTATTTTTAAAAAGCTGAATACAGAATCTTGGCGAAAGTAGTAGATCATTTTTGCCTATAGATTTCTGAATATATGCTGCATATGCATAATTCCTATGAAAAACAGTAGGCTATATGAAAAGAGTATGTATTCATATAAAACAGAAGGAGAAAAGTCCCCGGATGACTTACTATTTCCGACGAGATTCTGAAGTGCGCATCTGATGGACACTTTACTATCCCATGAGGCCACAGGAGAGAACTTTTGAGTTTTGACAACATTCAAGATTCATAATGAATGTAGAACATCTAGATTACATTCATACTACACGCATACAAAGAGCATACTTTATGCCACAACGGCCACAAAGTGCTTATTCAAAAGAAGTACCAACTCTGAGAGTAAGCGATTTCAGACTAGCCACTGAGTATTGATTTAAACATTTCTTTGTTAAATATTTTTAATTAAATATTTAAAAAATATTAAAATAAAAATTATTTTAAAAAATCGAAATCAAATTAAAGTTTTATTTTGACATAAAACAGACTTTCATATTTAACTTTTTTGCAGCATGTACACCTTTTCAACATATACATAATTTTCAACAATGTCGCAGGACAGCAATATCATCATTTACGATGAATGTGACGATGTATCACAGACAAAAAAAGACTTCTGCCTCTCGTACCATGATGCAAGTTTACATTCCAGTTCATCACAGTTGCAAATTTGTATTTAAGTTCAGAGGTGAGATCTGTGTGGATTTCCGCTGACACTAAACGCACACAAACACATCAAACATGCATTGACACACATGCACTTCTCCCATTTAATCTTGCTGTAAGAGGATAAAGGCACAACCGTTAAAAAAAAAAATTACATAATCCTACAGTTCTCTCTAGAACGGTCCCTCCCTTTCTCTCTCTCTTTGACCATCACTGCAACTATGTTCTGATCATCCTTTTAACATCTTGGCTCACTATTTTACTGTCATTTCATGTATGGAGAGGTGTTCTGAATCTTGTTGCCTCTCTGGTTTTTGGTTAATTTTATGAAAAATTCTGATGACATTGTATAAAAGGTAACAGATTAAAACTGATCCACAAATCTCCCTCCCCCTCTTCACATTTGTTTCTGTTCTACCATCAGTGTTGTTCTCTGATTTTTATGCCAAACTCCTCTGACCCTCCCCTGCGTCTATTGAACAGATTGGGTCTCAGTGGGACTGTGTCACCTGGGGAGATACTTCCCCCCTCCTGACACACACACACACACACACACACAAACTTATACATCCTAGCAGCCTGACCTTCACATGCTTTCAGATAAGCAGCCTAGTGAACATACAAAATACAAACGACAAACAAAAATAAACATCTGTGAGTGAAAAAAACGTACAGGAGACCATTAGATGAAAACGTCATATTTTTGTCAAGTTTTACCTAAATGTTTCTCTTGGAATCAGATTCATCAGAATGAGCCAGAAATCTAAAGAAAAATATTAACAATGTCCAACAGCGAATATATAAACCGGCTATTGAACATTGTTCATGGGCAAGTAAACAGTGAGAAGTGTTTTAATAGAATTGACTTTATAAAAAATAAAAATTCACAGGGCTGAAATAGCATATTCTTCAGTGAGTGGAGAGATGGAGTATAGGGATGACAGAGGGAAAACTGCAGGTGTGAGGTGTATTGCTTGCTGGCCTGCGAGGCTGAAACAGTAGGAGAAGTAGATTGCTGAGCTTTAAATGATTAATCAGCTGCTGATGCTCTCTCTAAAATATTATCAGGGACACAGAGTCTCACAACTAAAGTAGAGAGTCAGAAATCCAAATCAGCAGTTTACTTTTAACACAAACTTTTGCACAGATACCATGCCTTTAGTTTCACACTACACTTAAAGGCATGGATTATTTTAAGATAAAAAAAGCATGTTGTATTCAAAAAGTTGTATTAAATTCACCTCCAGAGGGAAACTACCTCGCACGTGCAGCATCGCGAAGCTGCCCTTTCATTTAATCCCGCAATCTCGCGCACTGAGGACGGACAGAGCTGACTGGTGAGCGCGAGAGACGACGAAGTGATGGGAGGGGGCGTTCAGGGATTTGTTGGACCGACAGCTGTTGTGTGGGTGTGTATATGTGTGTGTTTCTGATGGGCTATTTCGGAGCTGGATTTTAATGTTGAGTTGCTTCCCAAAATCTCATGAAAGAGTAGGCCTATGTGTTTTAACACTAAACTAAACATGAAACTTTAACACTAAAACTTATTTCACAAGTGAATGACTGTGTTTACATCGCAAAGAATGTAGGCTACAAAATATGCTATTTATTTTATAGAATATAAAACTTTAAAAAAAAATATCCAATCCAATTTTTCAGTAGGCTATTAAACGCTGATGTTAGTGGTTACCAAACATTTTTCCAAGAAGACAAACTTGTTTGAAAGGGATGTACTTTGACCTTTGGGAGAGTCCATCCTGTCTGGATTTGGGCCTAAGACAGATATCGAATTAACAAGATTTAACAAGGTATTTAATATGCTCCACCACCAGCAAAATGTGTTCACCCCCAAATCTGCCATGACAAAATACTTCCTGGTCTTAATTAGGTTTAAAATAATACATTTCAGTTGTTGAAATAAATTACTTTGTATCATTCTATAGAACTATATGTTTTCCCCCCTCTAGCACGCATATTTATGTTTAACACTGTTTAATGTAATACTAGTTTAATGTAATTTAAGTTGAAATGACTTAAACATCCAAATTGACTGTAGGCCTACTTAAAAATTAAGGGCAGCAACATTTTATTTTATTTTACAGTGTATTCAATTTAAAATTGAATTTTGACGATTTAGTTGAATAATTGAATAACCGGTGACAGACAAAGCAGAATCCAGTAAAAGAGATTTATCTGAAATGTAAAATTATTCCATGACTTATATAGCCTATGAATATTTACATATTGAATAACTGACCATATTAATTGAAGATATGTCATAATATATTAGAAAACTCTATGAATGCTAATTAAATAATTTCACTCAACAAACATATAGGTTTTAATGAAAGCGAAGATGTTTGAAATGTCGCCTATGCCTACATCTGAAAAGTCATCTTATCCCGACTTACCAGGCTACTGTTTTTTTTGTATGAAACTTCATCTGAAAAGTCATCTTATCCCGACTTACCAGGCTACTGTTTTTTTTTTTTGTATGAAACTTTTGTATCTAATACGCTTCGTAGGCTACTAAGTAGTATACTCATGGCGTATGAAGACCAAATTTGGTCAAAGACTTCCTGTTCTCTGAGCGCGGTCCGCTTTATCAACTAGGGCGTGGAATCAGAACGTGTGTGTGTGTCCCGGGACGCGCGAGCTGTGCAGTGATGCGCGCGACTACCTGACGCTCAGGTGGACTAATGAATGAACTCGCTCACGCGCACAGACACTAAAGTGAGAGAGAAAGCGACCAACGCCACGCGTCGGACGTCTGTGGCACCGGGTTAGCCGCGAACTAATCTGATCCATCTGGACAATCTTCTCAATCGTACAGAGTGGATGCATTACGTGCAAACCGATTACATAAGAACACATTTGACTCAGATTCAGTCACGACAAGGGTTTGCACCTGACATCTTGAAGAAGGATACACACGCACAGAGAGGGGGAAGACAATCACTTCTTGGCTATAATGAACTTTCCACTTGCAATTTTTCCTCACTAAACGTGCTGTCAGATGCAATCACAGACATACACTCAACGCACTTTAATTCCAATGTTTTTCAACACCTCATCTTCTAAAAAAATCACCTCTGGGCAATATTTATTCTTTATGAACCAAGAGAGACATGTAAAACAAGTAACGGAAAAGTTCTTAAAAGTACAAACGTACTTTGAGGATAATAAGATGGTACCTCACCTGTGTATTTTCCCCAAAGTTTTTCCTGCCTGAGCCTTAAAGCGGTCCGGACGGATCTCCATCCTCGCGACTTCCGAGTCCGACCGGTGTGCTCCTGTCCCGTGTGCCTGCCTGACTCTCTCTCTCTCTCTCTCTCTCTCTCTCTCTGGTTATCCCTCTAACATCCTCCTCCCCGCTCTTTCTTTCTCTCTCTGTCCGTGGTCCTGATGAATAGGATATAATCATTCAAATTAGGCTAAATTACTTTGATGGTTTTTGTAATAAAATGTATTATGAATAGACCAGTACACAATTCACTTTACACAGCTACACATTACATAAAATAAGTTAAATAAATCGAACCATAAAGCCTATTTAAGAAAAGCCGAAACGATGTAGCCTATCATAAAGCACATATTTATTTAGAGTCTGGTCTATTGACATATTTGTACATAATCAATAAAATATGTATCATAGCTTAGCCTATAGTATAGCTACCTTGATCATGTAACTAGCTGCATATCACAATTTGTCACCTGTAAATGAAAGTCGTGTTAGGGCGGCGCGAGCAGAGTTTCTCAGCGTGAAAGCTTATGAGCAGTCTATCGCCACCTTGCGTTTACTACGAGACGTTTCAAGTCGAAATCTTATTTCATAATAACAACATAATAACGCACTGAATCAGCCTTTCTATGTGATCTGTAAGGTTACACCAACAAACGTAATTCTTAGGATAAAAGTAAGGATTATATCAGGTAAAAATAGCTCCCTAAGGTAAGCTGGACGGTTTCACTTTGTACAGGTGTGTTTACATATATATATTCCACATATTAAATATTTCACGTTGGCTATTGAGTCCAAGGAAAATGTTAGAGCTGTCGAAGTTTACATTTTCCCCTTAACATTGTTTATGGTTGTTCTTATAAACATTGATTTGAGATCAGTTATCTGTATATTGTTCCTTTGGATCAATATTTACTGTGAAAACTGTTGAAATGTAGGCTATTTGAATTGAACTTAAAACTTTATCTTCAATTGTATACTCTATCATTATATGCTGTCAAACTAACTCCATATGAATGAAAAAAAAAAAATAATGTGCTTTCACATCTATGACCAAATAACTTTTTATTTGGCATAGAGATATACAGTGATTCTACTCTCTCTCTCTCTCTCTCTCTCTCTCTCTCTCTCTCTCTCTCTCTCTCTCTCTCTCTCTCTCTCTCTCTCTCTCTTCTCTCTCTCTCTCTCTCTCTCTCTCTCTCTCTCTCTCTCTCTCTCTCTCTCTCTCTCTCTCTCACACACACATAGTATCCAAACTGTACTGTATATACTGTCATATCACAACAAAAGTGAACAAACAAAGAGAATACTCACAAAGGAATTGAACATGCAAACACATCCCCTGCTGTATATATACAAATCAAAGTATCAACAGCATTACAGTTTTTAAAAAAAAGAAAAGAAAGAAAAACCTTTAGTCTAATGACTATAAACCCTCTCTTGTGGATCAGTCTAAAATATAGACTAAAATCTTTCTGGTCAGCATGAAACAGACCAAATGTATTCTGAGCTTTCCCACCAAAAAAACAAACAAAAAAAATTCTAAGGAACATGAAATGAAGCTGCCTTCTATATTTGTGTTCACACTGATTTAACCTGAGCCTATATAACAGTCATTTATTTTTATCTGTTCTACATTGATCTTCTAATATCACAGTACAATTCAATGATATTGCATTTGAATGCAAACCCCTGTGCAGTCATAGGTTGGCATTGAGTCATGGCTAAAATTGCATGTATTGAGTGTTGTGTTTTAAATTGCAGCATGTGTGGCAGTAATTTAGCAAATGTCTCACTCCTTAGCTTAAAGACACAATGGCACAATCTTTCTTTTAATATTTCTGTGGTGTTGTACTAGTTTACCTGCTGGGTAAAAACCTAAAAAAAATTAAAACATATATGTAGATATTTGGAGCCAGATATTTTGAGTTTATGCTATGACGTGGCTTTACTAAAAAAATAAAATAATATATGGCATTTTACTGTCACTGAATACTACAAAAATCAGTCATTTACCAAATCCATGTCAATTCAACTCTATTAACAATATACAATACAATTTTCTTTTGATATTAAAACACTTTCCGGCTAAAACTAACTTATTAATAAGGTTAATGGCTAACAGTTTCATACTCAAAGAAACATTTTTAACCTCTATGTACCATTTCTTTGAAAAAAAAATATTTTAAAATATTAGTATTCTAGTAATAGGGATAATACTGATATTTTTAAAACGTCTAACAGTCCTCCACCATCTATTTTCAGTAACACTTTACAATACGGTTTCATTTGTTAACATTAGGTAACTACATTGGTTAACATGAACTAACAATGAACAATACATCTACAGCATTTACTAATCTTAGTTAACGTTAATCTCAACATTTACTAATACATTTTTAAGATCAAATGTTGTCTCTGTTAACATTACTTAATGCACTGTGAGATATCATAAATATAAACAGTTCACTTTTGAAGTGGAACTTCAACACTGCATCTTGGATTGACGCTATGGGGACGGCATCAGCATAACCTGTGTCTGAAGCACGTCCATGACGTCATTAGCGGAGCGCCCGTGAGTATAAGAGGGCGCCTGTAATAGTGTGGGGATCGCAGGCCGAGCTGGCTGAGGTATGGCTCTTTCGCATTCTTCAGTCACAGGCTCGAGCTATCTGTTAGATCAAGATGTGCTATCTATAACATCATCTGATCCAGCAGATAGCATGTTGCTGGCACCATCCAGCCAGAAAGAGACAGATGTGGTTGAGGAGGGTGAGGAAAGTTTTTTGTATTGAGCCCTCTTAAGGCCTGTTCACACCGGGACGAATTTCGCGCGCGATATTCGCCGACGTTTAACGCCTCGTGACTAAACAAAGGGCACCAATGTGAGTGTGCACACCGACACGAAAAACGTCACACGTAAAAGCGTCATTTAAAAAAAAAAACGCAGACCAATGAGATTGGCGCTTTTGCTCACGTGTCTGGAGCTTCTGAAGTTACAGTAAAACACAACTTGGGGGGGCTCAAATACAAAACGGTCTTGCCGAGCACACATACGTAACGGCGAAGAAGATGCGCCAAGTAGCGTCTACACCATAGATATCCATAATAAAGGCTAGATGTCTCGTCCGCGCTGCTGGCCAATGGCCTTTATTATGGATATCTATGGTCTACACTGCCGGGAAGAAATAAGACGAGGAAGATGCAAGGCAAGATGAATGTATAGAGCTGCTGGTCTCGTTGGTGTCGGAACATAAAGAACTATATGACAAACGCGACAGCGACTACAAAATAGGACTATTTCTGTTTTACATTAAGCGGCATCTAAGGTCAGGCAATGAATTTGCATGTTCACTCAGCTCATCGTCAGCGAAAATCGCTTGGGTGTGAACACAAAAAACGCGTTGAAAAACGCTGGCGAATAACGCGCGCCGATATTCGTCCCGGTGTGTACGGGCCTTTAGGCTGCCAGTCCCGCATAAGGGTTGCATTCTCCCCCCAGAAGTCATGGTAATACCCAAGGTCGTAGTTGGGAAAATAGTCTACCTTGGCGAAAACTCCCTAGGGGCTGTGGCAAGCAAAAAGAGGTTGTCATAGCTCAGCCATTTTTGGGGCTGAAATGGCCTACAAGGGAGGGAGGAAGGTTGTAAAGGCCGGTACTTACCTTGTTATAAAAGCACAGAGGCGTGGATATCTTCTATTATTGGGAGATAGTGGGTAAGGGCGGGAGTGGTACCACTAGACAGTCTATGTGAGTCTTTGGTGAGTACGCTCTTGATTGACGCTATAACTCTGGCTAAATAATCCATTGAGTCAATTTATGCTATATGCCCATTCGCTCAAAATCATCCAAGACACAGTGTTGAAGTTCCATTTCGAAAGGGAATGTCTCAGGTTACAACTGTAACCATGGTTCCCTGAGAAAGGGAACGAGACACTGCGCCTCATTGCCATGCCTTGGGCCTGCCTACACCTCTTCTTCAGACAAAAAAGTTGATGACTTGTATTACGACACCCTCTTATATTCACGGGCTCTCAACTAATGATGTAATGGACTGTGGTCGGCCAATGAAATTTGGTGTGTTTTCACCAGTTATGCTGACGGTGTCCCCATAGCGTCAATCCCAGATGCAGTGCCTCGTTCCCCTTATCAGAGAACCATGGTTGCAGTCGTAAGCTAAAACATTAACATTAAACATTAATGTTTAAAACACTAACATTAAAAAAGGATGTTTTTTGATGCTGTAAAATGCTGTAAAAATATATTGCTCATTGTAAATGTTACCTGAGGCATTAACTAATGTTAACAAATTGGAGCTCATTGTAAAGTGCTACCCTATTTTACTAAAGAAACTGTAGTAAAAACAAATGTTTTATTCTAGATGACGAGTATAATTGCTGTGCTTTGGAGAAGCTGTAATCTTATAATTAAGTATAATTAATTAATATAATTAAGTGTGGATATTCTTTATATTCAGGCACTTTTGGTACAGGCCACTTCACTTAGGCTAAGTACATGTAGGGATTCAAGAACAAAGCAATTCAATGATTGGTGTACTCGCAAAAAGTATCCCTCTTAAATAGTGCTGCAGTTGACAAATATTTTTCATTGAATGTTCATTAGCATAATGAGAATAAATGGAGTCGGTCTCCCTCCACTCCATTAAAAAACTCCAACACTGATGAATAAATAGTCTTGTCGTTTTCTACTCAAACACCCACTTATCTCCATTTTTCCCTTACACCTCAGTGTCTTCTTCTTCCTCTCTATCTTCATGTTGCGAGAGTAGCCTGTAGTGTTCAGCACCCAGTGGAAGGAAGGGGGACCGGGGCCGATTCCTGTCTTCATCCACTGCGGAGTGATGGTTATTTGGCTCTGGCTCATCAGAATTGCATTTGGAGTATCGCTCTCTTGGAGGCTCAACTTCACCCTCCTCCACTGGTAGGCTCCGCCCCCCTCTAAGGAAGGAGAGCAGGTAGCCAATGGGCACCGGGAGAGATGCTATAATGATCAGCATGGACAGCATGATCAGAGCCCATCCAGGATACTCGAGGCTAGCTTCAGAACCCTGACAGAGAGAAATACTTTTTTTTTTCTCAGCAGACACATTACATTGATCAAAAGTGTCAGTAAAGACATTTATAATGCTACCAAAAAATTCTTCTTCAAATAAATGCTGTTCTTTTGAACTTTCTATTCAGAATCCTGAAAAAATGATTAAGAGTTCCACTAAAACATTAAGCAGCACAACTGTTTTCAACATTACCGGTAATAAGGATAAATGTTTCCTGAGCAGCAAATCAGCATATTAGAATGATTTCTGAAGGATCATGTGACACTGAACACTTGGCTGCTGAAAATTCATTTTAGAATATATTCAAATTAAAACATTTTAATAATATTTCACAATATTGCTGTTTCTACTGTATAATTGATTAAATAAATGCAGCCTTGATGAGCATGTGAGACTTTCAAAAGCATGAAAAAAACACCAAGACATTTTTTTTTTAAATATGTAGTCATACAGGTTTTTAACGACAAGAGTAAATAAATTATGACAGAACTTTTTTTTTTTGCATGTTTGTGTCTACTATCCCTTTAAGTTATCTACAGTCATCATTCTATTTTTACACACAAGTTAGTTCATAGCGTCCAAACTTATTTTGTACTCAGTTTGTATAATACCGTGGTGTGATTCCAGGCTGTGTAAGTGGGCCGTTTGAAGACCATGCGGAGAAGACTAGCAGCCAGCAGTCCCACCATGCTGAGCAGGCACACATACTTCCACAAATATCGATACACCACCGGAGGGCGCCAGTGCAGCATCACCTCCACATCATCCAAGAAACTGCAGAACAGCAAATACAATGAGGATTTAAAAAACTACACATAGCTGATCCCACAATCAGCATATAAATAAATGATTTCACACTTCATCTCACCGATCAGCACCGTAAACCCATGCCACACTGAAATTTTCAAAGATGACGACGACAATCAATGGCAATGTTGCAGAATAATCGTCAAACATGGTCACAAAATAGTTGCCACTTCTTTGAGTGAAGAGCAGGCCAAAGAGGAAGCCCAAGATACAGCAACACACTGCATGTAATACAATGATACAGCCAAGTTACGTGACAGCTAGGGCACAATATCCTTTATAGTATTAGCACATCTACTTGAGTGTACCCGTCAACATGGTCTTGTGGCGCCCCAGCACTCTGAAGTTGTCCATGAGTGGGGTAAGAATCCCCTGCATGGTGCCAAACATGGTGGAGAGGCCCAAATTCAGCAGCATGAGAAAGAATAAAGTTGACCAAAATGGACTTGCAGGAAACAACGACATCGCTTCTGTAAATGCTATAAATGCCAAACCTGTGCCCTCCACTCCCTGAGAGAAGGAGAAACAGAATAGATGGATGGACTCTCACAACCAGAAATAATTTCACTGACAGTGAGATACATTTAACTAATGTAATAGAATATGCACTGAAGCGCACACATATATGTTCTACCTTGCTCATTTCTCTTTCCAGGTCACAGTCAGTGATATTTGACCCTAACAGGCTTCCATAGTGGCTGTACCATTCTCTGTAGTCATGAAGAGACACTGATTTGGGGTCAGAAATGTTGAACCATGGCCACCAATGCTGCGATGAACCTGTTGTTGCCATTTCTGCCATCCTGGCCACATTACTGCAAAGAAATTATGAAAATGTTAGTTTGATACAGAATAATTTATAGTAACATTTAGCTGGATTTATTATATGCAGTTTATTTGGAGGGGACAAAAATGATGAAGATGAATAGAAGGATGTATTGTTGAAAAGCTTACACAATATATAACAATCTCTGCTATGCAAATTACACTATCGTTCAAAAGTTAGTCAGATTGTTGTTGTTGTTTTTGAAGAAATAAATACTTTTATATTGCAAGGATGTATGAAATGTATCAAAAGTGGCAGTAAACACATTTATAATGTTACAAACGTTTCACTTTTCAAATAGCTATGTTGTTCTTTAGAATAAAATCTATCACAGTTTCCACAAAAACATTACAATTGTTTTCAACATTGATAATAATAATAAATGTTTCTTGAGCACCAATCATAGAATGATTTCTGAAGGATCATGTGACACTGAAGACTGAAGTAATGATGCTGAAAATTCAGCTTTGACATCACAGGTATAAATTACATTCCAAAACATAAAAATTATTTTAAATTGAAATATTTCACATTTTTCACAATTTTTGATCAAATAAATGCAGCCTTGGTGAGCATAAGAGAAAATTAAATACAATCGTATTTCAAGCAAAAACAAAAGAAAACGAACACAGATTCTTACTTACGATGCAACACATTCCAGAGAAATGTTCTTGGCTCTGAAACCAAGGACCACAAAGACAACCAGAGAGGCCAATACTGAGGTCATGAAGTTGATGGCAGAGACCATGATGGCGTCCCGGTGGCAGTTGTTATGCACAGGGTTGTAGGATGAATAAGCGATCACAGAGCCGTAACCTAGACCCAGTGCAAAAAACACCTGTGTGGCAGCCTGACGCCACACCTGCACTTCCCCCAAAATCTCCAGCTAATCCAAACAGAGAAATACTGTATGATTACAACATTTTAATATAGCATGCTTTGACATGCCCTTAAATTGCACTTTATGGGAGTCGTGTGAACTCTTGTTGTCACCTTAGGATAAAACATATATTTGATGCCCTCTAAAGCCCCGTCCAACATGAGCCCTCTGATGAGAAAACAGATCAGCACAACGTAAGGGAACACGGAGGAGAAATACATCACCTGGAGAAAAGGAATAGACAGATCATAAATCGGAAGAACTTATTTTTAATTTATTGATTTCACAAAGAACATCTGTTGATTACATTTTTTTTAAACATTTTGGAAACAATTTTATGTCCCTTCAAGAATTGTAAAACCTCACAAGGATAGTGAAACACACTACATTGTGAGGAAAATGGCTTAATAAATGATAAAAATATTTATTTTTGACTATGAAGAAATGCTAAAAGGTTTGTGAGTGTTGGGGGATAGAAAATATCATTAGCTCAGTAACAAACGTAGATGTACCAGAAACATCTCTACCATGATTGAAAAACAAACGTGTTTGTATTTTGTACCTTGGCAGAAGACTTGATGCCCTTGATCATTGCGAGACACACTATAGCCCAGGCGGCAAGGAGGCACCCGGTCATTATAGGGTTAAACTCTCCTGACTCATCTATGGAGTCTGAGATATCCAGAGCCTTTCTGAACCAGAAATAGGAGGTAGGAGAGCTTGCTGCACATTCCTTCACTAAGACAGGAAGATGAGATCAAAACAACTGTACATACTGTAAATCTCAAAGACACAAAATATACAACGTGTGTAATAATTAGGGATGTGCGTGAGTAACTGACTAGTGGACTGCTCATTCTGAACTAATTATTTGACACTAGTAAAAAACTATTTGAAAAGAAGGATAATATTCCTTTCTGCATCTGTCTGACTTAAGCAACAACTAAATGTTCTCTTCCATTGAATCCCTCACCTAACGTTTGAATGCAACGGGTTTTAATGTTGTTTTTAAAGCTTGATGGTTTCATTAATGCATTTTGTTCCTTTAATAATTTTTTATTTTATTTTTTTAACTTACACTACCGTTCAAAAGTTTGGGGTCGGTAAGGATTTTTTAATGTTTTTAAAAGAACCTTTACCAAGGCTCTATTTATTAGATCAAAGTAAAAACAGTAATACTGTGAAATAATTGTTTTTTATTTGAATATATTTTTTAAGTAATATAAATGTGATGTTAAAGCTGAATTTTCAGCATCATTACACTAATCTTCAGTGTCACATGACATCATCCTTCAGAATGATGATTTGCTGCTCAAGAAACATTTCTTCTTATTATAAATGTTGATGATAGATGTGCTGCTTCATATTTTTGTGGAAACCATCTTTTTTTCAGGATTCTTGGTGAATAAAAGTATTAATTTCTTTAAAAAATTGATTCCAAGTGATTTTGTGTATGTAAACAACATACCTGTCTGGTTTGAGATCATATCTACAGGACACTGTTCCCATGGCAATGGATACTGGAATGAATTCCCCATATAGAACAGAGACCAGGCAATGATCACATTATAGTACAGGGCCACAAAGAAACACACCTGGGAGAGAAAAAGAGTACAATGACATCTTATGGATGTATAGGTGTATGATTAAAAACCAAAAAGAGAGAAAGTCTAAAAATACACACTGTCAAGATCTTTGATTGTTCCATTACTGTGTAAAGCAATACATAAATAAATCCTCTCATATTGTGTAAGGTGCCAACATTATAGAACTTCTGCCATCTGATCTTACTGACGAGCTGATAATGTTATCATACAAGCACACATATACAAATGCTCACAGGAAATTCTCATACAGAGAGGATCTACTCCTCCTCCTTACATACAAACACAGAATATGCCAACATGTATGTATGGATTGTAGCCATTTTTCAAACACTGTGAGTTAAAGCTGGCTGCGTTCTTTAAGGCAGTCTCAGAATAAAACTGACACTTCTGAATTCATAATTCTAACCAGCATGATACAAATATTTATATTATGAGTCAGCTTTAAAATATTTGTGGCTTTTTTGCCTGTGCAAGACACATTTCCTCCTGTTGAACCTGATCTGTGGCATTACAGAAGCTGACGCTCATAAATCCCATGCCATGTAACCACCAGACGAAACATGATACCTTTCAGCTCATTTTAAATATAAACTCACCAATAATATCTCTGAAAAAATGTCAACACACTATTTTTGGCCATCTTTAATGTCTAGTATACACCAGAAGAAAAAAACAAACGGGCAATAAAAATAACAATGTGAACAACGATTCATTGTAAAACAAATATACTAAACTGTCATCAATTATTATTTTTTACTATATAAATTCAGTTAAATTACATTGAAGACTGACATATACTTTCTTCACTAACCCACCCCGGCCGAAAACATTAATATTTTTTATAACCTGTAATACTTTTTTCAGGATTCTTTGATGAATAAAAAGTTTTTAAAAAAGCATTTATTTAAAATAAAAATCTTTTGAAACAATATACACTACCGTTCAAAAGATTGGGGTCAGTAATTTTTATTTTATGTTTTGAAAGAAATGAATACTTTTATTCAGCAAGAATGTGTTAAATTGATAAAAAGTGATTTTTAGAAAAGATTTCTATTTTAAATAAATGCTGTTCTTTTTAAGTTTTTATTCATCAATGAAACCTAAAGAAAGTATCACAGGCTCCAGCAAAAATATTAAGCAGCACAACTGTTTCCAACATTGATAATAAATCAGCGACTGATTTCTGAAGGGTCATGTGACACACTGAAGATTGATTTCTGAAGGATCATGTGACACTGAAGACTGGAGTAATGATGCTGAAAATACAGCTTTGCATCAAAGAAATAAATGATATTTGAAAGTATATTAAAATAGAAAACCATTATTTTAAATTGTAATAATATTTCACAATATTACGTTTTTTGTCTGTATTTTTTATCAAATAAATGCAGGCTTGATGAGCATAAGAGACTTCTTTTAAAAACATAAAAAATAGTAATGTTTCCAAACTTTTGACCGGTACTGTATATGTATATGAACATAAGCCCCATGTTATAATGCAATAGAATAACACTTGTAATTCTCATACAGAGAGAGTGTATATGTGTGTTTTACCATGCAGCTGGAGTAGCCGATGCCAGCGAGGCGAGGTGAGATGTGTTTCCAGACCCCGATGCTGCCCTGACGGATGCTCTGGCCAGCGGCCAGCTCCATAAAGAACAGAGGAACCCCGATAATGAGCAACAGCATCACGTACAATAACATAAAGGCACCTGAAGAAAGAGAGTGTGTGATTACATTACCAATCATTCAGTTTCACAAACACACACACATACAATGTTTAGGTTAGTTTTTTATAAAGCACATTTCTACTGCCTCAAGGGCAGCTTAAAGTGCTGTACAAAGCAATCAATGAAACTAAACAAAGAGAATACAAACACAACAACATAACATTAATATTTAGTTCTCTCCTGGGTCAGAGTCAAATGTCAAGATATAAAAGTGCTTCTTCAAAGCCATTTTAAAAGCATTAAAAGAGGGAACAGAGCGGATGGCAAGCGGTAAGTTATTCCATAACCTAGGACCGTAAGCTACGTAACATGCTATCTATTTCTGATGCAGAAAAGTTAGTTCATGCATTCATGACCTCGAGACTAGATTACTGTAATGCTTTATTAGCTGGTTGTCCTGCATCCACAATAAACAAGCTACAGTTAGTGCAAAATGCAGCTGCTAGAGTTCTTACTAGGTCAAGAAAATATGATCATATAACACCAATTTTATCATCTCTACACTGGTTACCTATTAAGTTCCGTATCAATTACAAAGTATTACTACTGACCTATAAAGCCCTAAATAGTTTAGCTCCTGTGTATTTAATGGACCTTCTATCGCCCTACAATCCATCGCGTTCTTTAAGATCACTAAATTCGAGGCTTCTGGTCATTCTAGGATATCTAAGTCCACTAAAGGAGGGAGGGCGTTCTCACATTTAGCTCCTAAACTCTGGAATAGCCTTCCTGATATTGTTCGAGGCTCAGACTCGCTGTCCCAGTTTAAAACTAGATTAAAGACGCATCTCTTTAGCCAAGCATTCACACAATGCTTACCTTTTATACTACTGTTGAATCAGATCGAATGCATTGATATTATGAACAGCAGCTATGCTAATTATTTCCCATCTGCTTTTCTGCTGTTATCTCGGGACGCTAGTCCAAAGGGAGATAGCGTTCGTCAGCTCCAGTTTGTATCCAGCCTCTCACGGAGACTTCAGATGCCCCAACACCTGCGATGAGACGACTCTGTCATGATTCTGCCATCATGTCTTTGATTCCTCTTGTCTTGTGGCAGGATCATGACAGAATCATGTTTTGTGTACAAGCGCATGGCCAATTGTTTGGCCATGTGCTTGTGTTGTCTCGTTACGTTACCCCGCCCCCTTGTTATCCTCGTCTCGTCATTATTGTCTAGTCAGCTTCACCTGTCTTTGTCATTTGTGTCTCTCTATTTAATCCCCTTGTGTTTGCTGTCCTGTGTCGGTACATTGTCTAACTTTGCGTGTTAATCCCTGTGAGTATATTGTCTGAAGACCTGTTTAATCAGTATTGTGAGTTCGTTTCCTGTCAAGTCAGAGTCTTTGTTTGTCATCGTGTCTTAGTCTTGTTATACTCTGCTCCAGTCCTGTTTTACCCCCTCGTGGGTTTTGTTTTCTGTTTTTGTCCAAAATAAATCATTTGAGTGTCATCTGCTGTCTGCGCCTGGGTTCTCCTTCCATCCACATGACAGACTCGACGCCTGTGAAGAGACGACTCAACGACCGGCGATATGTTATGCCCTAAATTAATACATGATTAACTAACTGTATTTTTCTATGTACATTTCTGAAATGCACTTTCTGTAAAGCTGCTTTGAAACAATATGTATTGTGAAAAGCGCTATACAAATAAAATAAAATTGAATTGAATTGACCGGCTATCGAAAAGAAACGGTCGCCTTTTCGCTTGAGTCGGCACCCCGGTACCTGGAGCAATAATTTATCTGTCTAACCCAGATTCTTTACTGACTGGTGTAGACAAACAAGATCTGACAGATGAGAAGGAGAAAGACCATTTACAATTTAAAAAAATTATTAATAGGGCCTTGAAGTCGATCCGATATCTGATAGGTAACCATTGAAGGGATGTTAAAATCAGGATGATTCTGTCCCTCTTTCTAATACCGGTCAAAAGTCTAGCAGCGGCATTTTGAACCGGCTGAAATCGATTCACCAATGACTGAGAGAGACTTATATATACGACATTACAATAATCCAGTCTGGATGATATAAAAGCATGGATGATCGTCTCCAGATCTCTAGATGAGAGCGTAGGTTTCATTTTAGCTATGAATCTTAAGTAGTAGAAACTAGTTTTCTCCACAGCACTAACTTGTTGTGAAAAATTCAACTCGGAGTCAAAAAATACACCCAGACTTTTTGCATATCGGTGAACATTTCTGGAGTGGCCCCAGGTAGCAAGAGATAAGTGGCGAAGAGCTAAGAGGGCTAAGAACTTCAACATCAGTTTTGCTCTCATTTAAGTGGAGAAAATTCTTAGCTATCAAGCATTTTACATCATCGAGACACTTAATGTTGGAACAGGACTTATCAAGTGGATGTGATGGGACATACAATTGAGTGTCGTCAGCATAGCAGTGGTATGTAATGTCATATTTCCTGAAGATAGACATTTTTATCATAGACAGATTTCCTGTTAGATAGGTAACATATAGAGGGAAAATAAAATAGGACTCAATATGGACCCTTGTGGGAGCCTGTTGATAGAGGAACTGAGGGTGATGAATGATTTCAAATTGTAACTGAAACAGACCTATTGGAGAGATACGAATAGAACCAGCGCAAAACCATGCCGCTGAGCCCAACCTCCTGCTGTAGACGACCTAAAAGAATCCTGTGATGGTATCAAAGGCAGCGGTTAGATCGAGAAGAATTAAAATAGCGGAGTTCCCCGAATCCAAAGTGAGCAAGAGGTAATTTGGAGGGGTTTTTTTCGGTGCTATGGCGGGCCCTAAACTCCGATTGAAATTTATCATGCAGATTATGGTCTGTTAAGAATTCAGAGATTTGAAGAAAGACAATCTTTTCCAACACTTTCGACAGAAAATGCATTGTGGAGATGGATCGAAAATTATTAAAATCAGACGAATCGAGACCTTGCTTCTTCAGAAATGGCCTAATCACTGTGAGCTTAAAGCAGGATTGAATAACGCCAGTGCTCAATGAGCTATTCATGATAGTCAAAACAGATCACACCTAACAGCTCTTTAAAAAGATGTGTCGGCATAATATCCCCTAGTTGGTTTTAACAGGACTTTTGGATTATGTGAATTTTTAGTTATAAAATCTGAGAAGTATTCAATTTTCGCTGCTTTGACAGCACACTGGTAGGCATACAGGCAGTTCTTAAAAATCTCCAAGGAGACATGTAGCCTATCTTTTTTCCATTTACATTCTGCTTTACGGCACTCCTGCCTGAGAGCAAGGGTATGATGGTTGAACCATGGACGTGAGCTAAGTTTAGAAACCTTTGGGTTTTAGAGGTGCAAGTGAGTCTACAATATTTGTACATGTCTAATTAAACAACAAAGTAATTTCCTCAGTGTTGTGGCTATGCGATGGAGCTTCCAAAATAGTCTTGGCTAAGGACTCTGTATAGGCATTAGAAAATGTATTTATAGTTGGAGGAGTTATCACACGAGAATAATGCACACCTTTTCGATCGTTCGGAGGCAAATATGGAAGTAAAACATTAAAAATGACAGACATATGATCCGACAGACAGCTTTCCTTAAAGGGGTGGCTGATTATGATTTCACTTTTTTAACTTTAGTTTGTGTGTAATGCCGTTTTAGCATAAACATCTGCAAAGTTACAACGCTCAAAGTTCAAAGCAAAGGGAGATATTTTGTTTTTTAAGGAGTCGGACTACAACAAACGACTGATAGGGACTATACGAGCTTCCTCCCGGGTTAGTGACATCCCTAAAATGTACATAAACCCCACCCCCGGGAACACGCAACTAAGGGGGAGAGTCCATGTTGAGAAGAGGAGGAGTTGTTGTAGTAGAGCTCATTTGTGAGTCTGCTCAAGCTGTCGCAACAGTCTTTTCACATTTATTGCAATACTGTAACAACAAGTGTGTGTTATTACTGTGTCAAATTACTGTGTTATTGTAACACAAAGGCAATAGCATGTCACTCTGTAGGTATCTCAGTTCCCATACGAGCGATTTTATAGGTTATCATGACAGAATATGCTAATCAATGACTAGAAGATAGTTAACTCCACGTAAACCACATAAATTCATCAACTATTCAGAAACGTCCTGTTGCATTCCACATGTTGTCACTTCTTCTGGAGTCTTTCCATCATTGTCCGACTCCGATTTACACATAAAAGGCATTTTAGTGTGTGTCTGTGTAAAGTAATCTGAGCCGCTAACACACACAAGCTCTTGAAGCTCCGCCCTTTGTGCTGGGAGCAGCAGCTCATTTGCATTTAAAGGGACACACACAAAATGATGCTCACCCTCAAAAACGGACAATTTTAACATGCTATAAAAAAATTATGTGTGGGATATTTTTAGCTAAAACTTCATATACACACTCTGGGGACATCAGAGACTTATTTTACATCTTGTAAAAAGGGGCATTATACCATCCCTTTAATATCAATGTTACATATTGAAAGGCCAGAAGATAGAACAAGATCAATAGTATGTCAGTGTTATGTCATGAATATGTTGAAGGAGGTCAAATGAGTCAATGAGTTGTACAAATTCCTTTACCAAGTGATGGGAAGGGCAACAGACATGGATATTAAAATCACCCAGGATTAGTAATTTATCCACAGTAGGGACTAGACAGAAGAGTCCCGAATTTCTTATTATATTTTGGTGGTCTATAAATAAAGGCACAAGTCACTGGGCTGTATAGTTGAATTGTCAATAATTGCAACTTAAATGTACGGTATTGAGTGGAAGGCAAGAGTCTACATTTAAAAAGTTTTTTTAAAACTGTAAATGAATAATAAAAGTACCCACCTCCTCCATTTTGGTGGCAGAGGTAGGGAAACCTCCAGACATTTCCCAGGCCAACGCTAAAGCCCACCTGGGCCAGCACATACTGCAGTTTACTGTCCCACGCCGGCCTGTCGTTCTCCTGCCCAGCAGCACCTGCAGACCCGACTTCATCCTCTGCCGACACCAAAGCCATGTCGGATCGGCTCTCGGCCAACACACTCCCATTCTCATTGGTCAATGGTGGCTTCTCCATCTAGAAAGGGCACAGTATTTGTCCAGTTCTCAGTTTAATTTTAGCTTAAGTTTTAGTAATTTTGCAATGTGATTGTCATTTTTATTAGTTTTTTATTCCAGTTTTAGTCATTTGAGTACTTAAACTTAAACTAAAACAGTTCGTTTTCAAGGCAACATTTCTCATTTAATTTTTTTTTAAGTTTAAATCTGATATTTATATTTTATTTCAGATTTAACAAACGATTTGAAAAGTTTTAGTTATCAATAATAACACTGCTTCCAGTATAGAGCCTTGTTTTAACCATCATGGGTAAATGGTGAATCGATTCATTTTTATAACTTTTCTTTACAGGTTCTCAGCAATTATTATGTCAACATAAGATCTAAAACAGTTACATACTGTACAATAGAAAAGTACAGTGTTCAACATGTTTCGGAGACACTTTCTTGGACAAGTACACCCATTTCGCAGAAAACCACGGGGATCCGCTAACCCTTTATCTAGCTCTTCTCGCTTCCCTGTATTTACTTCTCTCGTTTCCCTCGAACTTTCTCCCTCTTCCCAGGAGAGAAGTGAATAGTTTCATTGTTCTTTATGTAAGTTGGAGCTAAAGTCAATAAGTCAAGTCCACCTTGCCATCTCCCTTCCAGCTATCAGTTTTCTTCTCACTTCAAGGTAAACAGAAGATCGTGGTGTAGAATGTAGTGAAGAGTGAAGAGAATGTAGAAATGATATTATTACCATGTATAAGTCCACATACTTTTTTCAACATCAAGATGTTACAGTAAGTAAAAATAAAAACCTAAATCTAAATCTGTTGTACTTATTTTTCTTTGCATTTTAAAAAAACTTTTTAAATAACTTATTGTCTTTTATACAAGTTATTTTAGAATTTGTGTTTTATTTATTTTTTTGTGCAAACTTTCACTCATTATTTGTCACTGAATTGTACAGTAAATCTAAATCTCTTTATCTTAGTAATAATCCAGACATTCACCAGTGGAGATAAAAAGCTCAGATGAACACAGACAAACATGGACGTGTATTTCAAAATCGGTTTAGCAAACAGAGAGCAACCACAAGCACCAGAGTCCCATTGGTTCAAAACTAATTTTGACAAAATAAAATGTCATTCACATTATTTCAACATACAGATGATCTCCTTGTGATTGTGAAACACACTACTAGGCCTGTACAACAATATTTAGGCCAGTTAATTGCTGGTAATAAACAGACATGTCTTTATAATTCAAGGCTTTACACAAAAAGTATAAATGGGTCTGTCTGTATACATGAAAATATATAGATGCCTTTATTTCATGAAAGGGGATAATCTCATTTGCAAGTATTAAAAAGCATTTAAAAGGTTGAAAACCCCTGAATTGTGGCATGAAATAAAGTCATGCGTCTGCATATAGTTTCACTAAAGAGGCCATGTGGGTAAATGCAGACTTGAAACATTCGGGTCCAGCAGTATTTGCCCACTGTCTGAGGAAGGGACCAGCTCAGGGGTCCATGTGCTCTCCACTGTAAGAGTGGAAAAGTACAGAAGTCCCGTACCCTCTCTAGCAAAAAGAGAGAGAGGGAGCATGTGAGAGAAGGAGAAAGTGTTACTGCGTCAGAGCTGGAGCGGCTAGTCATTCTTAGTTGACTGACAGGCAGGCAGGCATGAGGTGGAAAGATTTCAAGGTATCCGATGCCTTTATGACGATCTTGTGACAGGTGAAAAATAAACATGTTTCTTATCTCTCTCATCTCTGTGCCCTCTCATGTCTAGGAAGTTGTTTATAACAGCAATAATACTGTCAAATTACACAAAGACAAAAAAAAAAAAAAAAAAAACTGAAAGTAGTGGGAAAGTGAACAGATTTTCTTTGCCTCTGTTATTCTACAAATGCCTTTTCTATGAGTGCCAGTGACCTACCCACTCAACCCGTTATTTGATTGGCTGTGCTATTTCTCATACCAACAGTCTCTTGATTTCACTTATGGCACACTAAGCATGAGAACACATGACTATAGGCTCCATGCAGACAGAATCTAGTGTCAAAGCCATTATTTCATTGAAATATCGCTCTCGCTCTCCTTGGCCCGGAGTGGCCATCGGGAGAATCGGGAGTAGCCTATTCCCGGTGGGCCGCTCATAAATTGGGCGGTAGTAGTACCACCTCAACATAAAGGCAGTTTCACACAGGATGCGCGAAAGCGCAAGTCATAGGCTAGTTTATTTTCAATGAGAGGCACACAGCGGCAAATCGCAGGCGATATCAAGGTTTTTATACAGCGCTTTAACATAACATTTTATAGATGAGCATAAGCCATATTGCTGTCTGATATTTATTTTAATTTCACTTTTTAAATTGTAGGCCTATGTGCAGTATTTTTCAGCTGTGCCTATTAATCACTTTTTTATTATAGAATGTTTGCTTAAAAAGTTTAGAATGTTATTTGTTATTTATCTGTATATTCCTATTAAAACATGAGTTTAAAAATATATGCTGGTCTTGGCCATTAAAATCCCGGGCTGAAATATAATGCGTTATGTCTGTTGCCTATATATGACTACGTTTAATACGTTTTGGCACTTGATTGTTTTTGACAATGTAACAAGCTTTAATTGTAAACTAATACTACCCAGGGTATATTTTTGTATAACATCACCCGCTTAGTGTAAATTTGGCAGCTGACAGTATTTTAGGAACATGCCACGCCAATCTGAATATATTTCACAGCCCACATGTATTTACATAAATTGATCCAAACTGTAGCTAAATAAACAGTAAAACCTGATTAAACTAAAGGAAATTGATCAGATAAACAAACATATGGCCAATTGAACGTATTAAGGACAAAATGCATTGACCAAGTTAAAAGTTTTATGCCAAGGCAAGTAGGCTATAACGTTAAACTGCAACAGGACACAATTTGCTAGTTTATTGTTGTTGTTGTTGTTGTTGTTTTCGGTTAGAAACATACAAGAACCTCTAAAAAGCACATGCATTATGTAAAAGTAACTCCTGAAACTCAGTTGAAAAGTTTTCGGTAGCAGCTCAAGAGAGAAGAAAACTTGCAGCCTGCAACAAATTCTTCGAGTCTTACCTTGGCAGCCCAGTTCAGGGGGAGTTGCCCTGTTGTAGTTTTTTGTTTAAACCGCTAATCTTAAACTGACAGGCTCTGCGTTATCGGTTCTGATAGTAATCCAGTCATTCAGACCCACTGAAATATTTATCCCACTCTTCGGGTGGTTAGGAGATCGCCACGTTGGAGGGCTCCGAGTGCACAACTTTGGTAAAAAGGCAAATGTAACGCCAGACCCTGCAGTTATGCGCGCTGTCATTGGAGACCACTGGAGAGCTGTTTTACCTACGCGTGAACTAGGCCCCTCCCCTTCTTGACAGCTCTTTGTCACATTACAGAACACGCGGAGCTCTCCTTTTGCACTCGTCCCTTTAATATCTGGTTTATAAAATAATGATTGATGTGTATAAAGCCTCCTAAACATTATTATATCACGTAGAGTTATGTATGGTAATGCATGACTTCTGCTAGGCTCCACCTCGCGCCCCGCCTCCTGTTTATATTTTGCGAAAGCGCACTGCTCTTCACGTGCGTTGAGAGCTCAGTCACTGGCCTATAGAAAAGGCTGTGGGTAAGTAAAGATAGTGCATTTGCTACAATAGTAGAAGAGCAGTGACAAATGGTTCTAGACGTGACAGTTACATAACAACTAATTTCTGCCAAGACCACCCATTGCACTCTCTTAACACACGAGGGCGGCATCGCCTGAGGACATCTAATGTTCTTACATTTTTATCATGATTGCTAAAGTCATTGTTATTTGGTCCTGAAGAAATCCCTTTGTCGGAAAATAAGAAGAAACATTTCCATAAGAAACTTTGTTGGAGCCAATGGGATTCCTATCGAAATTGTCTTATAGGACAAGACATTCTGTAGGACCACTTCTGCAGGACTTTAATGGGATCCATTTGGGTTCCTATCAGGTCTAAGGGAATTTAATGTGATATTTTTAAGAATAAAAATGTGCACTTCTCCACTGTATTTCTTCCACTAAACAATAAAATGTACTTTACTAAAGTACTTTTTGATTGTTTCTTGCAGTTTTCTGAAACTAACCTCAATGTACACATTGATCAGAAAATACCAACTTGTGTTGTGTACTATGCGTAGGCCTACCTAACATTAAACAACTAGGCTGCTTTAGAACTGGTGGGAGAAGCACAAAAATTAGTCATATTTTGAACACAGCATTAGTGCGCCACTTGCTAAGACACTGATAATGGACTGATAAAACAAAAGACAAATCAACAAATGCATATCTGTTTTTTGTCACTTTTTTCATTAGTATTTCATTTAATTTAGTCTTTCTACCCGTGTTGGGGAAAGTTACTTTGAAAAGTAATGCATTACAATATTTATGAAGGTAATATAATGCCATAAAGAATCGCATGTGCTGCAGGGTAAGATTTGTGAAAGTATACATAAGATTGCTAGCGTGAATTAAATTTGAATGCGCAAGAGAAGATTTGTAAAGGTGTAAATCGCCTTTCAAGTGTAAGAAAACAATATTTACAGGATTTAACTGTTATTCGTAAGTGTAATTCATGTATTTTTAAGCTGCAGCTTCATGCTAACGAAAACAACAGAGTTAGGAACTGTAAAACAGATGAATTGCGTAAAATCAAACTTTGTGTAAAAAAATAAACTGTTGCAAATGTCTAAATGACTTGTGCACATGGGGCAAAAAAGTTCCCGAAATAGCCCCATTTGTACAGTTGCGTCTTTCTTCTACCTATGCTTCCAGTTTTGGCTAGCCTGGTTAAAACCAGACCATTCTCATTTGTAACTGAGCTTCATGGACAAATCATGGTAACACTTTACTTGAAGGGGTGTGCATAAGACTGACATGACACCTTCATAACTATGACATGACATATGTCATAAATATGAAGTAGGGTTTATGCATGTTTATGACAACTGTCATTAAGTGTCTTTCGCTCAATAATGACATTTTGAATGCAAATATGACATTGGTTAAGATGTCTTTGTTATGACATCTTGACATAAACCATTACATCATAACCTGTCAGTGTCTTTGTCATGACAACTTGACATTAAATTAAATTAAACTGTCAAACAACCAACCAAACTGTCATTGGTTGGTTTTGACACTGGCTGTCATGAGGCCATTATAACTGTGTCATGACAACATGAATATTTTTCGTGACCTCAACTACAGTGGTACACATTGAATTTGTCATTAAAAAGTTATAATGGCATGACAGCCAATGTCAAAACCAACCACCTGACAGTTTAATGTAATGTTAACCAATAAAGCTTAGTGGTTTCTTAAGTTTGATAATTAATCTGCTATGTCATGTTTATGACAGGTTGTGTTGTCTTAGTAATGTCAAGTTGTCATGACAAAGACACTGACAGGTTATGATGTATTTGTTTATGTCAAGGTGTCAAAACAAAGACATCTCAAACAATGTCATATTTGCATTAAAAATGTCATAATTGAGCGAATGACACTAATGACAGTTGTCACAAACATGCATAAAACTTCCTTCATATTCATAACATGTGTCATGTCATGATTATGAAGGTGTCATGTTAGTCTTATGCACACCCCATCAAGTAAAGTGTTACCCAAATCATTTCCAAAGGGGCGTCACCAACGGACATAGCTCAAATGCCTCTGGGCACAATTGGATAGACCTAAAACCAATCAGAGCGATGAAGAAGATGACGTATGCAGAGCGACGTTCGTCTGTTAACAACTTAGTTTGAATAAACGAGCAGACACTGATTAGCTACTTGCACTATGTTTATTTAAAATTAACAGCAAGACAACTAAGTGAATGTGCTTTCCATTAAATAAATCACACACAGTAAAAAAAAACGACGCGCAAACTGTGCGTGAGTTTGCGCTCAACGGTCTCAAACATGTACGTCTCAACGGTGCGGTGAGACGTACATGCTCGGGCACATAGATATCCATAATAAAGGCTAGATATGGAAAGCCCTTTGAGCATTATTCAATATCCTACTAGTACGCATTTATTTCATCTTACTAGTAAGACTTTTGTTCAAACTAGTTCGACAAAATGGTTTTGGCTTACTAGTTAACTAGTGGACGGCAATTTTCTGCACTAGTTAACTAGTGAGCATTTTGGCTCTCACTAGTTAATTAGTAAAGCCCAAAATGTCCACTAGATAAGGGCTTTCCATATGTATGTTTTAGCTCTTACTAGTTAACTTGCAAAACATTTTTGGCCTTACTAGTTGACTAGTAAGGTTAAAAAACATGCGTCTAGTGCTACTAGTGGACATTTTGGCCTTTACTAGACAACTAGTGCAACATTTCTCACCTTACTAGTTGACTAGTAATAGTTGGTAACTAGTAGGTCCAAAATGCGTCAACTTGTTAACTAGTGGACATTTTAGCTCTTACTAGTTAACATGTAAAGTGCTTCATGCGGTCCACTAGTACTACTACTAGTGGACCGCATGCAAATGGAGCAGGCGGGACAAGGATTTTGATTGGTCAATGTTCAAACTGTGTGCTGGAGAGCCTTAAAGGGCCAGCTCTGAGTTGTGACAGAAGGTGTGTTAAGTTATTTTGTTTTGTATTATTATGAAATGGCAATTGATTGAATGCACTTTGGCATATTAAATGTACAACAACACATAAAACTAAAGTGAATGTGATATTAATCTTTGCATAGAAGACTTGCATTTACAAAACAGTTTACATTTGCATTCCTATTGTATTGATATTTTTCATTAATATAATACAAATCATATACATTCCAAACAATCTACATTTTGGGGAAATAAAGGAATAGCATGTCACTGAAATTTAATTAAAAACTAAATAAATAGATGATAGATAGATAGATAGATAGATAGATAGATAGATAGATAGATAGATAGATAGATAGATAGATAGATAGATAGATAGATAGATAGATAGATAGATAGATAGATAGATAGATAGATAGATAGATAGATAGATAGATAGATGGATGTTGAGTACCACATTAAATTATCAACCATGATGCAGCACTTTAACCTCGAATTATTTAGGTAGATGATCCCACACTCAATACTGCACAGCGTTTGCTGAAGAGGCTTCCGCGCGCTTTTTACATGTTCAAATCTAACCAGCAGACTTTCCTTTGCCTGGAGATGCTGGCTAACTAAGTGATTTTTTTTATATACACTACCGTTCAAAAGTTTGGGGTCAGTGAGAATTTTATTTTTATTTTTTGGAGGAAAGAAATCAATACTTTTATTAATCAAGGACAGTAAAGACATTTATAATGTTACAAAAGATTCTATTTCAAACAAATGCTGTTCTTTTGAACTTCCTATTCATCAAAGAATCCTAAAAAAAACACAAAAAAACTGTACAACTGACAGACCAACAACTGTTTCAACATTGATAATAATAATAAATGTTTCTTGAGCATCAAATCTTCATATTATACTGATTTGTGAAGGATCATTTGACACTGAAGACACTGACACTGGTGATGCTGAAAATTCAGCTTTGATCACAGGAATAAATTACACTTTACTATATATTCATACAGAAAACAGCTGATTTACACTGGAATAATATTTAATACTATAACTGATTTTTGTTGTATTTTTAATCAAATAAGCGCAGCCATGGTTAGCAGAAGAGAATTCTTTTAAAAGTATTTAAAATCGTACCGACCCCAAACTTTTGAACGGTAGTGTATGTGTGTATATATATATATATATATATATATATATACACACACACATATATATATATACACATATAAAAAAAATATATATGTAAAAAAAATATATATATACCAAGGTTTTTCAATGTTTTTTTTTCCCCCTTTTGTATTGTTGGTGAGTAAAACAGAAATGCAGGTTATCTGCTCCATATATATATATATATATATATATATATATATATGAGAGAGAGAGAGAGAATATTTACAGTAGCCTATACATACAGTATAGCCTACTCCATGGAGCAGAGAACCTGCGTTTCTGTTTTACTCACCAACAATACAAAAGGAAAAAAAAAAAGACACAGAAAAACCTTGGTGTTTCATTGTTAAAAAGGCAAAAAGTCCAAATAAATCAAGCAAGATTAAAGATTCATCTGACAGTACACAGGTTTCACACTTTTTTCTGCATAGATATTAATCAATGAGCTAGCAGTTAACAAAATTAAAAGTTAATCAGGCTTTAAAGGGTTAAATTTTGGCAGGAGGAAATTCTTGCTGGACAGCCAATAGGAAGGTTTAAAATATGCCCGCTACCACCCCCTTATTAGCATTTTGTGCAACTAGTTAACTAGTCAGCATTTTTGCTTTCACTAGTACTAGTAGACATTTTGAGCGTCACT